TGATGGGTTTAGGACCTTCTATGACCCTGTCTAGCTCTCTTAGAGTAACTGCCTGTCTTCTGGAATCTCCTCCTTGCTGTTGGCAGGCACAACAAACTTTCTGGCATTGACTCGTATTGAGGTGCCATCCTGGAAGAGTTGGACTTCCTGTACAACCTCTGTAGGGTCCAGGTATCTCCTCATGCTACCTGTAGTGACACTGATCCTAGCCAAATGCAAAACTAGTGAAAAACAGTCAGAAACGATGAGTTGGGGAAAAAAATGTCAGTGGCCTCCACCTGTAAAACCATTCCTGTTTTGGGGGTTGTCTCATTGTTGCCCATCTAGTGCACCTATTGTTAATTTCATTAACACCAAAGGTGAAACCGATTAACAACCCCCTCTGCTACTTAACTAACCAGATCAATATCCCAGGAGTTTCATTGACTTTATGCTAGACTCTGATTAAAACAATTAAAGGACCACTTTTTAATCAGTGTGCTTATAAAATCAATGCTTTGCTTGAAAATTACTTAGAACCCAGAAAGCAGAGGTCCTGTAGAATTAAGTGGTGGCTGGTAAAATTTTTTTGTCACATGATTTTTGCGCAGTTGTTAATCAAATGCTATTTTTCAGGAAAAAAATTTACTAAAATGAATTTTAGTGCGCACATGCACAACATAATGCCCAATTTAAAAGAAAAAAAAAAATATTAAAGATAATGTTACGTCGAGTAAATAGATACCAAACGTCAAGATTTAAAATTTGTGCATGCCTGTGAAGTGGTGACAAACTACGGGACCTAATATTGTTCTTATAAACTCTTAAAAAGCCTTTAAGGCCCTGGTACCCAACCTGTGGCCCTCAGACCCAGCAGTCGCCAGTGGAAGTTTTGATTTGCAATGAGTCTGTAATAGCTGTGATTGCTAGCAGTTTCATGTAACATGTCTCCAGTCTCTGACAGCTTGACTCCAGTCTCCAACAATCCAACAGTCTATGACCATCTCCTCCTGAAAGTCTTCAGTCCTTTGGCTTCCTTTTGTAGCAATACACTTACTAAATATTGAATGCCGCCCTTCGGTGATATCGAGGGCTGCATTTTGAGGCCCTATATACATTGCAGGGTGACAACCACTGCTTTAAGGTGATCATCGTAGAGTTAGGCTACTTTTACACTGATCCAATGCAAAAACGCATATGCAGTTTGCCGCGTTTTTACCACAGTTGTGGTGCGTTCTTTTAATGTGACTCAAACACACCTCAGCACCATCACCAACACTGTTTTTGCCACATTTTCCAATAATTTCAATGGGGAGGCGCGGGTTTTTTTTTTTGTTTTTTTTTAACCTCACCAAGCCTGCATCAAGCGGGACTTTGAAAATGGATCGGTGTGAAGAGTTCCATAGGAATACATGGTCATACATTTTTTCTTCCTCTTTTTTAATGCAAAAAACAGATCAATGTGAAAGCAACCTTTAGGCTACGTTCACACTAGCGTTGTGTGCAGGCGGCAGAGAGGCGTTTGGGAAGCGTTTTTTACCGCTTCCCAAATGCCTCTGCCAATTCTGCACATTGCAGCACATGGTGCTGTTCTAACGGGAGCGTTTGCGTCGCGTTTCCTCGCGGCAAAACGGACGCCTCTGGTCGAGTCAGGAGGCGTTGAAGCCTCCTATTCTAGTCTATGGTGCCGCTCCGCAAACACCCGGCCGGCGTTTGCGGTGCGGTTGCTGGGCGTTTGCGTAGCGGTAACACAATTCAAACTGCATTATAGGCATTTGTGGGGCGTTTTTAACGCTCAGCAAACGCCTAGCAACCGCCGCTAAACCGCGCATGTGGCGTTTGCGGAGTGTTTGCCGAGCGTTAAAAAACGCTCCGCAAACGCTGGACCAACGCTTTCCAAACGCTATAGGGGCGTTTGGCAAGCGTTGGTGAAACAGCCAAGTGTGAACGAGCCCTAATTGTGAATGATGGCGCTAGATCTATTGCTCTCACACTGATGCTCATGGCAGTATCTCACATGTGTAGTGTAATTGCTATTTACATATGTGTGCTGGACCCACACTCACATTTGTATCTCTGTGTATGTACAGGGGGTGCTTCTAAATGTTTTTTTTTTTTTTTTTTTGTTTTTACATTCTTTTCATTTAATTTTATAATAATATATTATTCTACTTCTATTTGTTGTATTTATTTTTACAATTTTATTTTTTTTTTTTTGTTATTTTTGCTGTCACAAAAACGAGCCCCATTGTGATAGCTTTAGGCAGGTCTTTTATGGAGACATCAGGGGATTATGTCTCCCCTGCTCTCCAGAGTAACTAACCAAGCACAGATCGTTCTTGGTTAGCTGCTTCCCTGGCTGAAACCAGAAGTGAAATCATGGTTGCTTCCGTGGTTCATTTGCTCAGAGGAGATCGGGGAAAGGATGTTCCTCCATCTCTTCTGTGGGAAGCCATCCTGGCCGCTTACCCTGGTCCCAGGCTCCGCAGAGGAGGAGAGCTCTTGAACCTCTGTGGGCAGTGAAGAGAGGGTGATGCCCTTTTCTGGTGATGTTCATCCCTTGTAATAGCAATAAAGTTGATTTAAAAAAAAGTTAAGGCTACAGTGTTGAAAAATAAATAAACATTTTTTTTGAGGGATGGATGACAACAGATCAGATGCTGGCTGCTTTTGTCTGTTGTGGACTCTGGCTGGGAGAGATGGTGTTCTCAGCTCCGCCCACCTGTCATTGGCATGACAGATGATCTCCCTTTTTCTGTTTGTTCTGTTCAGGCCTATTGCAAGTGCTGCATTAGGGCAGCCTGTTCACTTTGCATGGGATTGCAAAGCAGAACGTTTCTGTAAAACGTGTGTTTTGTTGGTTTTTGTTTTTTTTTTGGGGTTTTTTTTTGGGTTTTTTTTAAACTGGAGCTTAAAATAGAACTAAATGCATCATTTTTGATTAGAGTAAGGGAGAATTATAAACCATTTTTCTATTTTTTTTTTTTTTTTTGCCACTTGTGTCCCATTGGGGAGATTTCCATTCATGTCCTCTCCCACAGCCCAAGAATGTTAGAGAATGCGTCCAAAGAAAGGGAATCCCTGGTTGTGACCAGATCTAGTGTTTCCATTGGAAGATTTCTCCAAAACTCCAAATGGACACCAAAACGTGGGTTTTTCTTTCACTTTCAGTGATAACTGTCCAAAACATTAAAAAAAAAAAAAAAATGTTTTTCGTCTTTTAGTTATTCTTTAATCTTTTTATATTTTGCATTCCTTGGTTCCCCCTCCTTACCATGCTAACCCCGTCCCACCCAAGCCCTGGAATTCATTTAACTGGGATATTATGCTTGGGGAAGGGGGGACAGGAAGGTCTTCCTGATCACGTGACCACTGTGATTGGCTGGTACAGTGGTCACATGATCTGTAGCTGATCCCATCGACACCCAATCATTACTAGAGACCAGAAGATGTCTCTGACAGCTCAGTCTCTGTGCTAGAAACATACTCTTCACACACAAACCCCACAGAAACCTCTGCTGGTTATGGACGCATATGTGCGTCATGTGGGCTTTAAAACCCACTCTTTACCACCGCACAAATGCATCACTCGGGTGGCAGGAGGTAAATCTTTCAATAAAACCTTTCCATTGCATAACAATAAAAGCACTTGGTCTCTTTGCTTCTCTATTCAATGCAGGCAGATCAGAGCTGTGCATAGTGTCCTGAAAACATCACAGCACCCTGCCTCAGTACTCCCCTCAAGAGCCCTCAGCCCTGATCCAAACATTGGGCTGGCTCTGGGGAGGAGTTATGGAAAAATCAAAGTGCCTTGATGGATGGATGCCAGTCTGGAGCAGTGAGCATTCCTATGCAGGCTGTATTTGCATGCAGACCGCCCTGGGTAATGGCCACATGTGTCTGAGCCTCTCTGATAGAACTGAAATCCAATGAAGGAAAGGGGTGGACCAAGGACAGTCAGGCTGGGGAGAAAAGTGCTAGATGATTGTGGATGTCCTCCAGCCAGAAAATGATGTTGTCTCCATCTGTAATGGAAATGGGTTTTGTTAAAATGTTAGCATGTTGATGAAGAGAGAGCGATGAATCAGGAAATGAGACTAAACAGGTGGCACACACATCTAGTGCATTTATCCAAGGTTTATTGAAAGGTATAAAAGATATAAAAACATACTCAGACGAAGCATGTATCTAAAAAGAAAATTAAATATATAAATTGTGCCGCGCTCCTGTGTGTATAAATAAATACAATATTCACTATTTCAAATGACAATCCAAAGAAAAAAAAAAAAATATATGAAAAAATAATAAAATGATATATACACTTATATCTAGTGTATAAAATACAATTATCTTCTGCTTTTTTCATATATATTGTTTTTATCACTATTGTCACCAGCACAGTATGCGGTATTTATTTATGATGTTATAAGCAGAAGATAATTGTATTTTATACACTAGATATAAGTGTATATATCATTTTATTATTGTTTCATTTTTTTTTTTTTTTCTTTGGATTGTCATTTGAAATAGTGAATATTGTAATTATTTATACACAGGAGCGCGGCACAATTTTATATATTTAATTTTCTCACAGAACACTGTCTAATGAGTAGGTGTGAGTGCCAGCGAACCACAGGTGTATCATATATTGTGTTTTGTTTGTCAAATTAATTAATGGTAATAGTTTAGACAAACACCATAGTAGCTCACAAGTACACTCATTTATGTATCTAAAAAGCATTTGCAATGAAGATGGCCACAACGGCAAGCAAGGTGTTCCAACTGTCAGTGCGGTCAAATGGCTGACGCGTTTCCGGGACGAATCCCTTTCCTCGGAGCTACTGACCAGCCTCTTGTGCGGATGTGTAGTGGATGGATGATGGGAGCCTTGCTGGTGATGAACCAGGGAAGGCAAAGTAAAGGCAGGTTAAGCTTCAGATTTAAAGTGAATGCAGCAAGTCACACAGTGAAGCCTGAAATGTAGCCGATACTGAGACTTAGACTTCTGTTTTGTTGTTCAGGTTGATTGAAGACAATAAGAAGCACCAGCAGCTGATCCTGGATATCTGCTCCGATAAGGACCATCTAAGAGAAGATCTGAGGAAACGGGGAGAGACGGAGACGCTTCATCTGAGCTCCATCAAACAGGTGACAGTCGCAGCCGTGCTTACAGCTAAACTCCAGGCAGATATAAAAAAAAAACACAAATGAATGCAGCCCTGTACTCAATATATCATGAAATGTCTTTTCCAATACAAGCAGTGTAGGTACCTGAATTAGACTTGGTATCAGCATTTTGCAGCTGCTGTACAGCAGAGCTTAGACTGGGAGGCAGAAGCAGCACAAGAAGCCAATCAGTTCATATGCTGATAGGAGGAGAGTGGTAGAGAGATTAGCTCATCAATTTGCTGCTTCTTGTTAGACTGTCTAATCCCAGGGTAGGGGATGGCAGCAAAAACAACTGCAGGTCTTCTCCCAGGCAGGGGAAGGAAGTTGGGACATAAAATGTCAACTAATTCAGTACACACCACGGTCTGAAAGAAACATTTCAATACATTTGCATAGGAGGTTTACAGAGTTGGTTTGCATCTACCTGTGTACAGTAGAGGGTGTTTACATTGATTGCCATGACGTCTACTCCAATGAACACAGCTTTTTTTTTCTTCAGCATGCCATGTAAATTATACTGCAGTTAATGGACCTCATAATAGATTACTTAAAGAGGACCCCTCCCTCGGTCCATACACAAAATGGTTAGCACTTCCGCCTGGTAGTACTAGGGTTGTTGGTTCGAATCGCAGCCACAGCACCACCTGCCTGGAGTTTGCATGTTCTCTCTGTGCCTGCATGAGTTTCCATCGGGGACTCCGGTTTCCTCCCACACTCCAAAGACATGCTTGTAGGTTAATTGGATCCTGTCTAAATTGGCCCAAGTATGTGTATGTAAGAATGTAAGTTAGGGATCTTAGATTGTACACCCCTTGAGGGTTAGGCACTGTTGTGAATGTACACATGTGTGTGTATATGTCCACCATACTGCCCCAAAACTACATCACTGACCTAATATCCAAGTACCGCCCAGCACGCACACTCCGCTCCTCACAAGACCTCCTTCTCTCTAGTTCCCTGGTCTCCTCCTCCCATGCCCGCCTCCAGGACTTCTCCAGGGTGTCACCCATCCTCTGGAACTCCCTGCCCCAACCCATCAGATTATCACCTACTCTCCTCTCCTTTAGGCGCACCCTGAAAACCCATCTCTTCAGGGAAGCCTACCCCACCCCCTGCTAACCTGCCGACCTCCTCCACTCTTCCTACCACTTCATCCTCCACAGCTATCTCCTCCTGTGCCACCATCCCCTCCCTCCTAGATTGTAAGCTCCAAAGAGCAGGGCCCTCGATCCCCTCATGTTTTGCATTGTATTGGTATTGTTCTGTCACATGTTCTGTCCCCCTTTGTAATGTACAGCGCTGAGCGAACTATTGGCGCTTTTTAAATACTGTATAATAATAATAATAATGTGTGTGTGTGTATGTGTGTATGTGTGTATGTGTGTATGTGTGTGTGTGTGTGTGTGTGTGTGTGTGTGTGTGTGTGTATGTATGTATATATATATATATATATATATATATATATATATATATATATATATATCTATATCTATATCTGCGTAAACTGACAGTGCTATATAAGTACCTGAAATAAATCTCTAATACAGTGCACATGAACAAGTACACTTGCCTATGCCCATGCTGCTCTTCTTTCCTATTATGCCTTTTTTCAGTGCCTGTGTCCATGCTCCCATGCCACCATTTTACAGATTGTTGTTACACTGCATGTACATGAGAAGGCTTGCATGACGTCATGCGCCTCTTCTCACATGTGCGCTGTTTTGGAAAAAAGGGGGAGAAAAAAGCCTTTTTTCCTTATTGAGTTTAATGCCATACAGCGCATGAGTGAGAAGACGCATGTGCAGAATGAGAATGCTGCAAGATCATGCAGCTTAGGTAGGATATCTCCATGAAGGTACCAGTGACTTCAGAGGAACACGGAAGTGGATACAGAAAAGGTAAGTTTGATCAAAAAAAATATATATTTTTTTTTTTAAGACTTTGTTTACACCTACATGATTGACTGACCATGTGCACATTCCCAGCATGTACATACGGGAAATGCGGAAAAGAAGTCTCTGACTCTTTTCCAGAAATGAGCTCTACTGGATCACATGGTGGTGTGGAACCATACGATTTAGCATGTGAGACCGCGCACATTAGGAGATGCATGGGGGTGCCATTAACAATTAACTGGTTGCCGACCACCCATGTATTTATTTTTTTTTTAAATCAGAGAAAAGTTTATTGAGCAAAAACTTAGGTACAATTTCCTAAACATCCATGTCACGAAACAGCATACAATAAAGATGGTAATCCGCATTGGGGTGCAGATTCTGAAAATCAGGCAAGTGTAGTACAATAGAGTAATAAGCAGTAGACCATAGAACAACACACTCCCACCTTTCTTTAGTAAGTAAACATGGCAAAAACCAATAAAAACATCATGACTAGGGCGGTATTGTGATCATTCTTATTCCATATGAAATTGGAACTGTCCTAGAAAGACAACCCCTCCACCAAAAAAGAGAAAAGAGGGCCCCCCCATGTATTTATACTGCGGGGCGGCCGCTTTTCTGCGTACTCAGCTTTGCTGTCATTCGCTACAACACAAGCCAATGAGCAGGTCCCGGACAACGATTTATTTCCAGGACCTGCTGGTTGACCGAGCAAATGACAGAAGAGAGCCCTCTGTTCAAGAAGAACACAGGGCTCTCTACAAGTGTAAGCGATATGGCTGTTTTGTTTTTACTACCTGCTCTGCAGGGAGAAAAAAAAAAACATTGCTTAGTAAAAGCGGCACACCTTACACACTTTAAACATTTTTAGGCACGCAGTTAACCCTTTGATTGCCCTTAGATGTCAACCCTTTCCCAGCCAGTGTCATCAGTACAATGACTGTATGTTATCAGCACAGATCATAGTATTTGTGTCACTGAAGATGTCACTGTCAGTTTGCCATTTCCTACAAAGTGTCAGATTGCCCACCACACCATCGTCACTGATCACAGCCGTTACTATTATAAAAATAAATACAAATTTTTATTTTTATATTATATATATATATATATATATATATATATATATATATATCATCATTTGTAGACACTATAACTTTCATACAAACCAATCAATATATACTTATTGTTTTTTTGGGTTTTTTTTACACCAAAGACACGTAGCGGATAACTTTTAGGCCTAAACGTTTGAAGAAATTTGATTTTTTTTTTCTCTAGGATATGTTTTATAGCAGAACGTAAAAAGACTGAGGTTGTGTTTTTTGTGGTTTTTTTTTTTTTTTTTTTAGTTTTTTTTTTTTTTTTTTTTTTATATAATAAAAAATAAAAACCCCAGTGGTGATCCAATGCGCCACCAAAAAGCTTTATATGTGTGAATAAATTATATATATTTCAAATTTAAAGTACTGCAGTGGCGAATAGCAAAAAATGGCCTGGTCATGAAGGGGGTGAGGGGCACTATCCTGTGTCTTCTAAATGAGTGACTGAGTGTCGGGAAAGTGCGCAATTTTGCACAGGTTCCCGACATGCATAGATGTGAACCTAGCCTTAGATGATTTCACATCGGCATGTGGAGATGCACGTTGATGTGAATTTTAGCAAAAGGTGGGAAAGGGTCCACCTTAAACAGACTCTTCTGACAGATTACCCCAACCCACTTTCTAGGCTCATGCACATGGGCCCTGTGTCAAGCATTTGAACACAGCAGCAATCAAACACACAAGAAAAGCATTTGTTTGGTTTGCTTTGTTTTAATTGCAAACCCATCTTGATAGAACCTGCGTCCTGTGTCTAATGCAGGCTGGGCGCAGCCTTAGAATGGTCTTCCTCACTGTGTCATTGAGGTACGTGGGAATCTGGTGACCTGTGTAAATGCGCGTCTCCAACATCGGGAAAACGTAGCTCATACTGCACTGCATTCCTCTGTCAGGGTTTGGAGGCCAAACCCTATGTTGGGCCTGGCAAATGACGACTCGGGACAAGGATTGCATTGGGGAAGAAGGTCACATGATCTTTCACGTCCACAAGCAATGAAGAGCTTGGACAGGGCAACGGGTTAGCACGAGTAAGGTATTAGGCTTCATTATCACAGGTCTACTTAAAGCGGAGTTCCACCCAAAAGGAGAAGTTCTGCTTTAAAGATTGGTCCCCCACTCCCCATTAAGGATTGGCACCTTTGGGGGGGGTGTAACGGGTACCCGAATTTGACAGTTACCCGCTTCCACTTCTTCTGCGATTGCTTAGGTGATCAAAAGTGGAAGTTCTCCTCCTCCCTCCCTCCCTCCCTGAAGTCTTGTGGTCCCAGAAGACGACAGGGCCATTGATGAAGCGCAGCGCTACTCACGCAGGTGCAATGGGCACCCAGCTGTGAAGCCGCAAGCTGTCACAGCCGGTGCCCACACTGAAGATGCCGGCGCCTGGAATACAGGTCGGCTGGTGAAACGGGCTGCGGCGGGGGGCAACACGGGATCGTGGGACAGGTAAGTGGCTGTTTTTTAAAAGTCAGCAGCTACAGTTTTTGTAGCTGCTGACTTTTATTTGTTTTTACAGAGTGAGTGGAACTCCGCTTTAAGTGTACACCCGAGGATCACATTGGCTCACATGGGATGCACAGGTGTTCCCCATGCAGTCAGTCCTATTCATGTCTATTGGGATGTAGTGGCTGCACGGACACAGCCCTTCTCCCATTTCATTCATGTGGTTTTGGGTGTGTGTGGAACACAGGCAGTGGGAGTTCCAGGACACACATCCACACTGCTGTCAGATTGGCAGCAGTGGCTGTGAATGTGCAGCTGCTGCGTACAAGTTGGCATGAATGGGACTGCCTGCACGGAACCCCTGTGGCTCCCACCCAGGTTGTACGCTTTGCCCCTGGGAACAAAGCCTTAGTGGTTTGGAGGCAATGAGGGCTTTTAAGAGCCTTGATCACTTAACCATTTCAAAGTCTTTTTAACCTCCTTGTGCTGTGTAAACTCTTTGAAAATACTTTACCCTTTGGGAAGTGATCTCTAAAATACGTTC